GGGGGGGGGGGGGGGGGGGCTCACCAGGTGGCTTGACACACGGTTGGGGCGCACCCGCAAAGGCAGTGGGCGGCTGTGCGGGACAGCAGTTGGAGCGGCGCCGTCCACGACTGCAGTGTGGCTGCGGCAGCGGAACGCGGCATCTGAGTGAAGAGGGCCGAGTAGGAACGCGCCACCAAATGCCTCACCAATTGCGCGAGCCTTAGCGTGTTGCTCCCTTCCACGCAAGACGGGGCGGCCGCTGCCCCCGCCTCTGCACCTGCTTTGCGCGCGGCCCCGCGAGCATCAAAGAGAGCCTCCTGCGGCGCGACCCCCCAAAGGAACAAGCTGCGCCCGGAGCTCAACACTGTGGCTGTGGGCCGCCTAGGCGTGTACCTGCCGCCCTCCAGCCGCTCTGTCGCGATCCTCTCCAGCGGCGAGGTGGCGCAGGCGCTCACACAGGTGCGCACAGCTGCCGTGCCAGGAGGGTACCACAATCATCGCGGGCCGGCACAGCGATTGTGCGGTTGCAGATGCCGCGTTGTGCAGCCGGGCGGGGAACAAAAGCAAGCCGGCATTCCCGGCGCTTCACGCCCCGGCCGTCAAGGCGCCGTCATCATAGTCATGATCATCATCAGCAGCAACAGCAACAGCAACAGCAATCGAAATCACTGGCGCCTTGCGAGCCATTGGGCCCCTACCTGTGCGCGCCTGTGCCCCTTCCTCCAGCCGCAACCCTCGGCCTCGTCCGCCTCCTCCGCACGCAGCGCCTGCGCAGCCACGCTCGCCTCTTTGCCAGCGACTTCCCTATGGAGCTGCGGGCCTACCAGCGCGGCTCACACATGCCCTGGCACAAGGACGAGCAGCTGTTCGACACGCCGCAGTGGGAGTGCATATACACAGGTGCGGGGATGCCAATTTGGGCAAAGGTGGCTGGGGGTTTCCACGCCCGCCTATTGCTGATTCTGGGGGTGGCACCTCCGAGCGGTTGGCTGGTCCGCGGTGGGTGGGGCGCGCTCAAAGGGCTGCGGCAGCAGCAGCGGCGGTGGCAACGGCAGTGGCTCCTATACGCTTGCAGGGCTCGTGCTCAAGGCGCGCGCTGCCCTGCCCATGTTTGCGCAGCATGCGCACGTAGAGGCCACGTCAGGAGCTCGCCCCCCACCCATGCGTACCCCCGAAGCCCAGTAGCCCCGCCTTCGCAACCCCCCTCGCGTCATGACAGTGGAGAACAGCAGCGACAGCGTGACCCAGTGGCGCGACGACAGCGGCGACGAGTTTGAGCAGCGCACCGACGGCAACAGCCTGCTGGCCGTGCTGGCAGAGGCGTGGTACCACCGGGTGACGCCCCTCAAGACCGGGTCCCGCTCCATCATCAAGTTTGCGATGACAACGACCGCCACACAGCTGCCCTCGTTCCGCGCAAACCTGGACCGCCAGGCCTACGCACCATGACGGCGCCTGCGCACGCGCCGCAGCGTACTTCGCCCCTCGCCAGGAGCCGCGCCAGTAAAACGTCCGGCGGCGTGGCGCGGGCGTTGCTTGCTGCGAGCTCAGTCGTATGCGGCGCCGTCGCAGGCCAAGGCCCCCAGGCCTCTTGTGCTGTTTTAATCCTGGCAGCGCGGTGGCCGTTGAGCTCTAGTTGCGATCCTCATGCAGCGGTTTTCATCCACTTATGGCTGGATGGGCGTGGTGGGTCCTGCGGCTGCGGGCCGGCCGGGCAGGGGCAAGGCCTGCGCCGCGGCACTGGCGCACGGCGGTCGGTTTCATGTGCGTTGCCGCTGATTGCATTGGGGGTCCCTCGCATGTACTTCTCCTGGTGGGCGCCGTCGATATATTGGAATTGCGCAAGTGTCCACAGCATGGGAACCCCGTCTTTTGACGCTTGTGTCGGAATCAAAATTGGTGTGAGCAGGCAGGGCACGCGTGACAGCGGCAGCCCAGCCAATCCACACGCGACGCACCCTCAACCCTGGAATGCATGGGGTTACAGCATGGCTTGGCCCGAACCTGAGGACTGCCGTTCCTCTGGTTTTTGGACAGAGCTTTAATCCCTGCTTGGCAGAATTGTGTGCTTCGCCATTGTATGAATATCCCAGTAATTTGTGTGGTGATCGTCATGGGGGGTAGGTAAGGGGTGGTGCATGGAGAAGAGCGTTGCCGGGGTGCAAAAGCAGGGTGGAGGCGGGGGGCAGACACCTGTGGACTGGGAAGCTCACAGGTTTCCCATGACACCTGCTGACGACTGGCAGACACGAGGCCATGCGGAAGCTGCCCCATGGGTTACCATCCTTATATTACGACCCAGCTGAGCAGAGGCGCGAGCCAAACAGTGGCCGGACACGCATGTCAGCCAAGTGGGTGGTCAGACGGCCGCTGTTCGCGCACTGCCGTCTACCCAGCTGTGCGCAAGCGCCGTGCGCCTGCATTCTTGGCGCCCCGCCGACCACCAACCAAACTTTTTATCGCAACTTATGCGACCGGGTTAAGTAAATCATCGTATCAAAGTAGCGTACTGCTTCCTATTGTATCATCTTGCACCGAACATCCCTGCTTGCACCTGCTGCTGAGCTGGTGCGCACGCCACGAGCATCAGGCGGTTTGCGAGATGGGGCGAAAGCAGGCGGCGGCGACCCCAGTAGAACACCTGGCGCGTGAGACAAATTCCCCTGTTTCATTGCTTGCCTGCAGGATGTTCGTTGCCTTGAGCCATGAGTAACCACAGGTGTAACAATGTGCTCTTGTCAGTCACGAATGAGGAGATTTCGGGAACGTCTCACGCGTGATGACAACATTTGACTGCAGTTCTTGGTTACCAGCAAGTGTGAAGTGTCAACACAACTTTGCACCCAACTTGTCCGGTGCTGCTGCAGCACGGTGTTGTTTTGGTGGTTGTTCAAGAACATTAGGGGATGCTTGGAGAGCTTGAGCCGGCTTATCCTGGAACCAGGCAGAATCACATTGTTTGGGCACCGCACCCCAGTACACATCCATGACCCCTCTTTCCTGCCGCACACCCGCACCCCCACCCCGCGGGCCATCATTCCCCCTTGGCCAGGGCAGCCAGCTCAGGGGGCACAGAGCAGCCCTCCTTGGCACCAGGGCGCAGCGCGTAGTACTTGTCAATAGCGCAGGCCTCGCCGCCTGACGAGCAGTCGCGGAGCAGTGCAGATGCCGCCGCGGTGATGGCCTGGCTGGGGTCTTTGCAGGCCGGCGCCTGCTCGTGAGCAAACTCCAGCAGCCTGCATGAAGATCGCCAGATGGGGTGCCAATGCTGTGGGTGATGATGTGCGGTGTGCAGCGGGGCAAAGCCCATTTGCGGATGTACGCTCAGCTGTTGCTGCAGGTGGCGCCCATGCAGCTGTACCTCCCTGAGTGCTGCTTGATGAAATGCAGCGCCCAAGAGCAGCGGCATCGTATCCAGGTTTGAAACACGCTGTCCTGCCCACCAAACCAGCCAGCTGGCCCCTACCCGCTCGATTCAGGAGGAGCCATTACCCGCCCCCACCTGACATACAGGGGCATGTCGAGGGTCAGAGTGTGGCTGCGGCCGCCCGTCTTGTCCGTGCACTTGACTCCCGCGCAGCCTCCAAGTTTAGTCTTGCTGCCGTCCACCGCAGCGGCTGCGGCGGCGCGGCGGGCCAGGTCGGTGGCGATGGCGGGCCAGGCGTCGCAGCTTGCAGGGGCATGGGTGCGGGCGGTCTCGGTGACCAGGTGGTGCAGGAGCACGTCTGGCGGGGCAGGTGAAAGGGGGGGCGATCAGGGGGCGCTTGAAGTGAGCGGACAGCAGGAGTGACGGAGATGCCCACTTTCGTTTGCATGGCGAGCACTACGACAGGCACATGCAAAGGTTGGCAGCCGGCGGGCGCGCAACCGCAGCGCTGTGCAGCCCAAGGAGCTGTTTTTGTTGTTTTGTCGCACCTCCCGCCTCGCCGTCGGGGACGCATAGCAGGTACCGCATCTGGGCCTGCGCTCAGGAAGAAGCGTGAGTGCTTGTGTGGTGAGGCTTGCAGCCAGCGAATCTGATTCCTGCTCTTGCTGGTGTGCCGTGCTGCGGCGTCTACATGAGGACCACCAACACTAGGTGTTCCACCAGCACTGCGCGGTTCAATTGCGCGGTCCATTTGCGCAAGTGCGGGCATCTGCGCGCACGTCCAAACGCAGACAGTGCGCACTTCTCAAAACAATTGGTTGAGGCAAGGGCATTTGAATTCGTCTGTTGCAGGGATGTGAGCCACCGCTGCAAACGCAGGGGCAAGGCCCGTCAACAGCAACAACCCACCACCCACCACAACTTCAGCACATACCCCGTTCAGCAGTCACAAGGGCGGCAACTCACCTCCATCAGGTCGGGTATGAGGTGAACGTAGTAGTTGCTTGTTCCCTCGGCGGGCGCTGCGGGAGCATACATGGGTGGGCCGAGCGGGGGGACGCCGCCAATGTGCACAGGTGCCTTGGTCAGTTGGTCGCGCTGATCAGAAGGCGCGATGACGCGCATCCCAGGTTGCCTGCGAAGCCGGGGCGCTCACCTGGGGCGGCAGCGTGCGCCAGCCCCACCACCAGCGCGGCGATGGCGAGGTGAACGAGGTGACGCATCTGGTCCGCTGTGCACTGCACGGACAGGTGTGTGAGGTGATTGGGCACGCGAAGCTTTTGGAAGTGGAGACGTGGGTGTGATTGCAAAACACTGCCTGCGCCTGTTTCTTTGCATTTTAAGGCCCCCAGAGAGGGTTTAAGGTTTGTGGTGCTTAGACATGACAGGTGCACCGTGCACCAGTCGCGCGAGCTGCACGCCCTGCGTGATGCGCACCGGTGTGCACAAACATTTAACCGGTCACACAAGCCCCGCATATGCTCGGTGACGAATATCAAGATTGGTCCATACTACTGGCAAGATGGTGTTGCACTCAGGCCGAGCAGAGGGGGCCCGCTGGGTGGCCGAGGTGTCACCTGGCCAGGGCACCTGGTTGCGTCAGCAGCGCCACGTCCTTGGAGCAGTCACAGCATGTCAGCGCACTGCAGGAGATCTTGTCGGCAATATGTGCGTCGTAGCAAAGTTGAAAGTTGACCAAATAGCAAACATGTGTACTTGTTGCCGCGGTCTGTGCGACGAAAGTACCAGTGTACGTACGGTATGTGATCCCCGCCTAGAAAGTAGGGAGGTGAACGCCTATGCTGTTTGACCACACAAGACGTGTAGCTCTAGGTGTGATCACGGCGCCGATCGCAGCGGCGTGGCCCCACTACAGCCCATTTGCATCGCAAGCGGCGTTGCGCAGCGGCCCCCTCCGTGTGGGGTCTGGTGGCAGCCGGGGGCATGAGGCGATCGGCAGGTGGGGAGGAGCGCCGGTGAGCCAGCCGCTGGCTCGAAGCGGTCGCCGTCATGGGGCCCGACGGCGGATCAGAGGCCGCCCTGGCCTTCTTCGTCATCGCGGTGCGACAACACCCGCGGGGAGGGGCGCGCAGGGAGGGGCGTGAGAGGGCAGGGGTTGATGGGTGTTGACAGGCAGGCCTGCGCCTGACATCGCCGCCAGCCCCACTGGGGCCCGGCCTCCACATCGAATCCCCGGGCCCTGCGCCGCCGTGTGGCGCCCCGATGTCGCCCCGCACGCCCCCCACCACCCTACGCCTCGCCGCCGTCCCTCCGCCGGGGCCCTCTTCGCCGCGC